AACAATCAAATTGGAAAAACAATCAGTCAACCCATCTGGCACACCTACCAAAAGGCTCTTCTGACCCCAATTCGGTTTGAACCTAATGTTCTGAAAAAATCGACTGAAATAGAAGTCTGCTTAAGTACGGGTTATTCACATACATTCATAGCTGCGAAGGGAGATAGTATAACGGTCAAAACGACGCATTGCTTTTCAATTATAAAAGACGGGACTTCGCCCTGTTCCTTCGGTTCCCTTCATCCCTCCGAGGAGGTCTCTTATTTGGTAGGAGACTCGTCTAGAAGTACTCTAGTACCAATGCACCGACTAGCCACCGTAAGTCATTGTATAGGTCACATACACTTCGAATTGCCCCAACGGTTCTGAATGGAGGTCGAATGCAAAGCGCAGATCAAAAACTCTATCCTTTTTTATCCCAACCTTGTCTTTTTCGTAATTTCACCAAAGTGCTGATAGCCACCGTGGAAAGTCCCAAATCCTATTCTTTCCTACGCCCTGGTGGAAAAAGCTGCAAATGTTTCAGGAACACGTCCTATTTCCTATTCGCGGGAACAAACAAGGCATAAATCAACTCACGATGTCAGGAGCTGAAATGTGGTTGAAAATAAAAATTGAAATATTCACAGTCTCGAGTGAAAAGGTCCCATTTTGCGAAAGACTATTCCCAAATCCTATTCTTTCCTGGCAACTGCCAAATGGCACTAGTAATCATGGCATCCCTAAACAGCTCAAATAACCTACTAACTCGAGGCAATTTCAAATCTTTACTAGACCCAGTAAAAGCAAAAAATATGTGCGTCAAGGGTTCAAACCCATGAAGTCACCATTGTCAGACAGCAAAACAGCAAACCTGGCCATCAGCCGCTATTCGCCAAATTCCATGAGAGAATACGAAATAAATTATCACAAGAAAGAACACATCTTAAGGCTTTAGAGAATGGCTGAGCCAAGGTTTAGAGCAGCTCAGCTGCTGAAGACGAACTCGTTAGAGTGCTTCAGTGCAATACTAATAACATAAAGCAATCAACGTGGCTATGCTCAGCTATCCTGCGTAACCCATTGAGAAGTGGAGCCTATGGACCTAGATGGAGCAGTAACCTAGGGTCTAGGTCTTCCTTCGACCCGCTGTTCTGCGTTTTGATTGACTTCTGAGAAGAGAACATTCACTCCCCCCCCAACGAATCCCTAGGCGAGAAGGCCAGCTACGCACTCGAATTTCTCTACGCTCCTGAATGAGAGTTAATTCTGTGTATGATGATACACGAGGCCATGGATCAAAGTCGTACCCCACAATCATGGCACAAAACAAGACGTCCAAGGCGGGCTGTAGCCGTATATTGTAGAAAGGAACAGGTTCCAAGTTCAAGGATTTCGGCCCACTTAAGGGATTTGGGAAGTTCCACAACGTAGTCTAGTTCAGCAAGCCATGCAATTGCAGCTTGAAAGGAATTAGTTTTCAATGGATCGGAGGGAATTCACGATCAGCAAAATTTCCACAGCCTAATTACCGAAAAAAACCACACTTCCGACGTCAACATTTCCAGCCCTTTAGTGGAATTGTGATCGAAATGTCACATTCTAATACACGTGCGTGTTCACATAACATAGAAAAAACATTAACAACGTAGAACGGTTCATGAGAAGGTTGCAAGTACACAAATAATAAAATTACATCCAAAACCTGGTGAATGATCTCACAAAGTGATAGATTTATGAATATTCCCCGAACTGAAAAGCTAAAATTTTAACGAGGGTAGCTCCAGATATGCTCCATTAATGAATGAAATTCCTCGAGAACTTTTTGGTCCTCTTTGAAGCATGCATGTAAATATTCTATCATTATGCGCCATTTTGCGTCGTAGTATCGTAAAGTTCGAAAAAAAACCGGTCGTTGGGTGGTGTTTGGGTGTCAACGGGAGTTTTGAAAGGGCTATAAATTGAGCATAAACTCTGACTCATATAGGCGTCAGATTTCACGTTTGGTTTGCAATAAAAGCGTTCCAATGAGTCAATCAGTCCAGTGATCTTCAAAACAGAAACAAACAATCGAACAAAAACAGGAACAGGAAGATTAGCCCTCCCCTCCCATCCCCCTCTCCCCCATAGTACTAATATGCTTATCGCAGACGGCTTCTAGACCATCCATAGAGCTCAGTAGCAATAAAACCATGAAAACAAGGAGCTCTTTCAAGAGACAAACAAGGGGAAGATCAGTGACAAATTGACAAATAGAAGTGTCAAAGAAAGAACACCACAACAAACAAACGAGACATAGATTGGAGGCAGATAGATAAGACTCAAAATACCCATTACGGTAGAGTTGCCTGAGGGATTTTACCGGAAAGCGAAATGCTGAAAGCCATTTTACCATTAATCCCCACGCTAAACCCGCTCCATGAAGTCAACCCAAGCAGGGGTACTAAAAAGTGGGAATTCAAAGGTAATTCGAATGCTCACTACACCTGTACCTGCTCTACTAGTACACTGCCTACAATGGGGTCTTTTTACTGAATTTACTTTCAAGATTTGCAAAAATTGAGGGCAAGTGAATCTACGATGTCAGCTAAACCCATTATAATATGCGTAGCTGAGATCGTAGAGTTTAAAATGCGGACCACGTGGGGGAATCGCTTAGAGCTGCTCAACGTGTCACCTAGACGAAGCGCCGCACTCGAGAAGGAAGGGCTTGATTTCACAAAAGTGCGCAAAAACTGGATCCAAAGACCGGATACCCCCGAGCACCACGCGCACTATCGTAACTCATCGCATTTGTTTGATATTCTGTGATACTTATGACGTATCGATGCAATCACACATTTTTTGATCCAAGAGGGAGTTTTTCAAGAATCCTACGCCTAACCACGAGCTTTTCCCTCCCCTCTATTTACGATAACCCACAGCATGAAGTCCTTGCCTGTATATTCCTACACGAATACCTTTTCTCAATTCTTTACCAATAGTTTCAAAAGCGTCTTCAGCTAGTCTTAACTTTTCCGTTAGAAGGAGTGCTCTAAAAACATTTCGATAGTATAGAAAAGAATATTCTGGCTCCAACCTATCGACTGGAAACTCACAACTGAGAAAGTTTTCTTCGTTGGATACTAAGAAGTTCAAGAACTGCATTAAAATCTTCTTCACTGTAGACGTGAACGATGGACGACCTATTACGATGGAATCAAAGAAGAACGGGTGGTCAGGTAACTTGACGGATTTGAAATCATTGTCAAGGACGAAACGCTATCAGAAAGGACACGCTACACCGCGAATCATTACCACCCGTGAGATTATTGAACTTTTTTATGATCATAATAACAGAATATGCTTAATAATATCAAAGAACTTTCTTCAGCAATCCTAAAGTCTGCTGAAAGAGCGTATGAGCATGAGATACATGACAAATAACGCATATATCGCAGGAGCTGACTTAAGGAAAGCAATCAATTGCACTGCCCTTCAATCCCATGACCTTTGATCAGAGACGACAGTCAATTGCCGAGGCCAGTGGTCAATTCTGAGCAGAGCAGAACATCACTGAGCTTGAACCTTCGTTACAGCTCCCTCTTCATGTAAACTTGTAACGTATACGAGAAGAATGATGAAATACCCGAGAAAAAACAGAGAAGGCCACAGAGCACTGCACTGCACTGATCGACGACCTACACAAGTGCCCGTAGGAAAAGGCCCAGACAATGTCCTCTTGAACGGACAAGTTCAGTTGTTGTTTAAAACTGAACAAATATTTTTTTGGATACCGATCCACTTGAGAGCTCAACACTGCAAAACGCAATGGACACCGGCACAACATCGACCACCGGAGTAGTTCAAGTGTTTGCCCTACCGCACGGTTCTGTTGGCGGTATACATTTTTTATGAATCTCACAATTCCATAGAAAAGTTTATCGAAAGTTAGGGTCAACCCCACAGGCGGCTCTTTGCAATATTCTACGCGGACGTGGAAGAATCGTAAATATTATAATATCATCCTGTCTTGGCGAGTACCTAAGGTGATCCAGAAAGTTAACTGTCCGCTCTGTGAAGTGACCTCTGGCCACTACCAAACCCGGTTTTGTATAGGATCGTAGTTTTCTGAACGGAGAAGCTGAGAAGTGGAGAAGGCCAACCACCTGCCTTGAATGGACTAGCCCTGTAAGCCACCAAGATGTAATGAAGCGGAAAAATCGAGAAGAGCTGTCAAAAGCTATTGTGTTGTACATCAAACTAATTAGGCCATCTCACTTCACCTCATTTTTCCAAGCACACCACAGCACATTCAGCAAAAACCTCAAATTGTAGTACACGAGCTCATAAACCATTCACTGACCTCATAATCGGACAGAAAGTCATTGAATAGGGTTTAAGCGAGTGAGAAAAAGCAGCACAGAGCACTACTGGCTGCTGTTCGCTTATGCCTGACCACCACATGAACCTTTCATTCCGTGGGGGCAAAAAAAAGCTGTGAAAAACATCGACCATCTGCCGTTGTATACTTTTGGCTGGGAACGTTCTAGTACAACAGTTTGATTTAACCCAAATACATCCACACATTTCATTTGCGTTGGAATGTCGGAAGGAGGCCATCCTCATATCAAAATCCACTAATCAGAAAAGGAAAATAACCGAGGTGGTAAGAAATGACCTCAGCTTTCGATACAAAATGATGATTAGGCTGCAGCGGACTTTGGGAGGAATCTGTTCTTGGGAAATGTCGCAACACCCTCTCCTCTATGAGCAAACATGCCCATGTGCCATGACAAACACGATTGCGCCTTATCTTGCAATCTTGTTGTCACACGCCTCTCCACTGAAAATTCATAATGGTCCCAGAGAAAAACATTTCTAAAACATTTCGTATATTTGCCGTATGCATTATTCCCTTTTGTCCGTGAAATAGTATACGGCTGGCCATGTGTACGAGGAAAAAGTACAAGCAACCACTTATTGTATGCCATTCTGCACCTTTATGTGAAGCATGGGAAGCAAAAAAGCGAAACACATCTTCAGACCCCAGTAAAGCCCCATTCNCCTTCTGGGGCGGGATTCGGCGGCGAAGTGTTTTGTTGGTGGGCAAACAAAGCTTCTAACGCCTCTCGTCCACGACTGACTAACGTACTGGGACTGTCCGTATGGCTCGCACGTTTTGCAGAAGGGCTATTCGGGAAAACGGCATCGTTGTTAACGTTGGACGTCAACGTTGATGGTTGATTAAACTGCTTACGGCGAATAACGGGGGTGATCAGTCCTTCATTGATCGTCTGAAAGTGCTGAAAGTGAGCGAATAAAGCGAAATTAATAAAGTCCACGGCAGTTTCAAAAATCTGCAAGTTATAAAAGGCTTGAAGCGTAATAATGAGAAAAGCATAATAAATGTCTCCGAAAATCTCACCGATAACTCCCCATCGCCGTTTCGTCCAAGCTTTTCTCTGAGCGCTTTTGCTGACTGGATTACGACGCTGGATGGTTCCGGCGAAAGATTCGGCACCGACATACGATGGTCTCGCTGAGATGCTCGGGACGTATAACGTGGGACTTCTTCGCCGTTTTGCTGACAGGAGTCCCAATTGTTTCGCTGCCTGTGAAGAATGAGACTTCAGGGGTTGACCTTCTTACTGAACTGAATTACCCCGTAAAATGTCATTCAGAATTAAAAGAAAAACATTGAAGGGTTGATCAACATTTGAGCAAATATCGCAGTGTTGGCCTGAAGAGAAGTGAACTACATTTCGAAAATAGGACAACTAGTCGGCATTCACATCCACACGATCATGTGAATCCCCGAAAACTCTAATGAGCAACGACCAACTACATCTGAATCCAACAAATAAAAGAGTAGAAGTAACATGAACGAAAACCAGGGAAAACCCAACTCCTACCCCCCTCCCCCCTCCCCCTCCTA